GATGAAGATGTTGATGATTAAGAAGATGTTGATGATGAAGATGATGATGATGATGAAGAAGATGTTGATGATGAAAAAGAAGATGAAGAAGCTGCTGCTGCTGATGATGATGACGACGATGACGATGACGCAGAAGAGGATTATGACGTCAGCAGTGATAGTGATTGATGTTGGGCTGTCGATAATGATTAGGATGGTTGTGATGATGATGATGATGAGAAGGAAGAGGAAGATGATAAAGATTATGATGATGATAATTATAGTGGAAAAGACGCTAACGACGACGATGATGATGATGACGTAAAAATAGCAACACGATGTTCAAACTGATGAAAAGGACAACCATCAGGATGATGACATACAATGATGAAGATGATAGTGGTGATGATGAGAAGACTATTACGATGACGATGATGATGTGACTATCACCACGATGGTGATGATTACGATGACGTCACCGTCATTTCACTACAATGACGTCAGTGTTCGTAGAAGCGTGGAGGCGTAGCATGTACTTAAGACATAAAATATATAATTAATGTACTCTACTCAAATGTATACATGTGTGTATATATTTATGTATGTATGTAGGTATGTATGTGTTTGTGTGTGTATGTGTGTGTGTATGTGTGTGTGTGTGTATTGACCCTGGGAATGATGACAAAGATGATGGTGACGACGACGACGATGATGATGACTGTAGTAGTGATCACACTCATGCAAAGGAGACATGGAAAACTTCATGACACTATCGACAACATGATGTGATGAATTGGGCTTAAGATTCCAGACAAACACACACACACACTCACACACACATACATACACACCCAGACGTACATTTTTAAGTATGTATATACACATACATACATACACATACACGCAAACATACTTTTTAACATATGAATACATACTCACATACATACATATACACACGCACACTTCACAGACACACACACACACACACATACATCAATTCGTAAAAACAATGAATAATGGAATAAAGGGTAGAAAAATTGAAAAGCGAAGATTCCTATAAATAAAATAAAGCTGATGACACTACTACTGCTACTACGGATGCAGTTGATGATGATGCTGTTACTGATGATGATGATACTTCTAATACCTTGATGATGATGATAACAATGATGATGATGATGGTGACGAAGACGACGATGGTGATATGGTTTTGATTTTTTTTCTAATTAAAGTCGTATCGATCAATGGAAAAATTTTACAAGTTTCATTTTTTGAAAATGAAAAGCCGACAATGAGGACGAGCTGCAGATGACGATGATGATGGTGATAAAAAACATCATCATCAACGATAAAAACTCCACCAACAACAACAACACAACAAAAACAACAACAACAACACAACAAAAACAACAACCCAACACCAACAACACCAACACTTCTACATTACGAAATGCAGTAAATCTTATTTAAACACCGATTCTACCTTTGCAACAACAACAACAACAACAACTTTTAATGTTATTATTGTTTATTATTGTTGTTTTTTTATATTTATTCCATTTTTCATTTAATATTTTATTTAATTTTGAGGACGAACGCATTTGCTGGCGAAATTAAAACACGCAAAGACAAAAAAATGTTTTTTCCGAGAAAAAAAGATTTAAATATAAATAATAAATTATTTATTTATAATTCTTTGCGAAGAAAGTCAAACAACAACACCAGCAACAACTAAAACAACTAAAACAACTACAACATTGCCGACAACAACTTCAACAAAAACAAAGAAAGCAGTAGAAAAAAACCAAAAAAAAAAAAAAAATTTACCTTTTAAAAGGAGGGTGAAAATCGAAATGAATATAAGTTTGCCTGATCACGTAGCAGCAATTTAAAGCGCGAGTCAACATTGCAAAATAAACAAATTAAACATACAAACATACATACAAACATACATACAAACATACATACATACATACAAACACATAGATACATACATACAAACACACACACTCATACATACATATATAGATACATACATGCATATGTAAAAATCCATAACCATGTCACTCATCATGTTTTGGTTTTAACATACATACATACATATATACAAACATACATACACACATACATACAAAGAAACACACAAACATACATAGATACATACACACACACACACATACATACAAATACACACACACACCGCAACATACAGAGAAAATTTTTTTTCAAACTAAACAATTTGCGTTAAGCAAACAAGATTTATACTGGCAGAAATATTGAAAAACAAACAAACATCAACAATAATAATATTAACCAGTAAATAATAATAATAATAATAGTAACAATAATATTAATAGCAAAAGAGTAGACCGAAACAACCGACATAGAACAAACAACCCACAATACTAAGGAGTGTTAAATTTAATACCGGAGAAAATGCAAAACATAAACATCGCAAAATATGTCAAAAAAACATACAAACAAACATACGTACAAACATACATACATACAAACATTCATAGATACAAGATACCAACATATACTAACATAAATACAACACACATACATAAAACGAACGTACATACAAATATTTCAACAAACAAACAAACAAACAAGCAACAAATGCGTAAACAAACATACATACATACATAAAAATATTCAAACATCCAAACAAGCGTACAAACATACATACAAACAAACGCAACATTTGAGAAGCAAAAACACTTAGAAGTTCCGTGTAAACAAATGAGATTCACAGCTAAGCTCAAAAATATACCTATAGAGCACACAAACAAACATATACACGTACACACACCAAAACAAACAAACAAACATATACACATACACACACCAACATGAAAACAAACACACACAACATACAAACAAACATACAAACAAGCAGACAAACAAACACACAGGTGAACATATATCTGTTAGAGAAACTTGATGTTCTGTTGAAAAGATGCGACGATGTCGAAGTGAGGTCTCACATATTTCCACTGGTCTTTAACTCCTTGGCTTCTAATAATATTCTATGTCAAGTATGTGTACGTGTGTCTGTGTGTGTCTGTGCATTTGTCTGTGTGTGTGCTTTGTGTGTTTGTTTGTGTGTGTGTGTGTTTGTGTGTGTGTTTTGTGTCTGTGTGTGTTTTGTGCGTGTGTGTTTGTTTGTGTGTGTTTTGTGTGTCTGTGTGTTTTGTGCGTGTGTGTTTGTGCGTGTGTGCGTGCGTATTGTTTTCTACATCATCAGTATCGTCTTCATCACTGTTGTCAACATCAGATTCTCATTATCATTTTATTATTATTATTATTATTATCATCATCATCATCGTCATCATCACTATCATCATCATTATCGTCATCTTCATTGACAACAACTTTCGGGGGATTGCCTTGCAACCACCTCCATAGCATAGCATTGTGTAAATACAGACAAATACAAAAAATTTAGTTTTAAAATAAAACTATACGAACATACAAACAGAAATACACACACACACATACACACACACACATACACACACACACAAACACACACACAAACATATACACACATTTACATATATACGTAAACTCATACACACATACATACATACATACAAACATACAAACATAAAAATTCACAAAGATCTCATTAGCGTACATGTAGCAGTTAAATTAATGTTCTTCTGTACTCGCCTTGCATTTCCCTCGAAGTAAAAAAAGGCGGGAAAAAAGTTCGCGCCATCGAATTCTCGTCGATTTCACGAAGCGCGCAATTTTTTTTCGTCTTTTAGTTCAATTTTTCTCAATTTTTTTTGAACTTAGCCATCCATCTCTCTTGCGTCCTGACTTGTATCATCATCGTCTTCATCATCGTCGTCATCGTCATCATCATCATCATCATTATCATCATAAATGTCATCATCACAGCCATCACAGACATCATCACCACCACCACCATTATCACAATCAACATCTACATTAGCCGCACGAACATCATCATCATCGCCATCTTCAGGAAGCAGCCCTGAACACCTATCCAGCTATGGAAAGCTATCTGGACGACAGCATCATTCGGCGTTCCATACTTCCGAAAGCAAAAAATCTTTTCCTGAAGGCTACGAGTGTCAGGGTAGGTGGGATTGGCTGACTTCTTGGTTAATTGCTGGTCGGTTGGTCGGTCGGTTGGTTGATTAACTGACTGATTGGCCATTTGGTTGGCTGATTGGTTGGTGGGTTGGTTGAGGACGATGAAGACGACGACGATGATGACAATGATGATGACGTCAAAGTCGATGACTACGATAATGGCTCTATAAAAAAAAGAGAGAGGGAAAGCACAGCGTGAATAGTGACAGTTCGTTAAAAAGCTTTCAAAAACCACACACGCACACACACACGCACACTCACACGTGCACACACAGACACACGCACGCACGCACACACACGCACACACACACACACACACACGTACACACAGATATGCAAAAAGCGAAAAGTACATTAAAGTGCTGGTAACCGAAATATAAAAAAATGTTAAAGTAGTACCTTCCTTTTGTTTCGTGTTCATCCGCATCTCTTCCCGCGATACATAATGTGTGTTTGTCTTTGTCTGTGTGTTTGTTTTTGTCTGTGTGTTTGTCTTTGTCTGTGTGTTTGTCTTTGTCTGTGTGTTTGTCTTTGTCTGTGTGTTTGTTTTCGTCTGTGTGTTTGTTTTTGTCTGTGTTTGTGTGTGTGTTTGTATATAATATAAAGAGAAAGAAAAACTAGAAGCGAAATGTTATAGACTAATGGTAGTAGAGAGAACGACAAATAGGTAGAGAGAGAGAGAGAGAAAGAGAAATAAGGAAAAGAGAAAAAGAGAGTGAGAGAAAGAAAGAGCGGAACGAGGCAGTTAGAAAAGAAGAAAGTAAAATCGAGAGAGAAAGAGAGTGGCGAATGAAAAAAAATTAAATTGAAATTGAAAAAAAGAAACCCGAGAATTATAGAGAACGCTCGTGATGATGATGACGACGACGATGATGATGGTGGTGGTGGGGCTAGTAGTGGTGGTGGTAGTGGTGTTGATGGTTACAAATATGATTAGAAGTTCTTGAGCCTATTTGACGCAGAAATTGAACTATGGATATTTATTTACACTGTATCTATGTGTTTTTGTTTAGGTGATTAAATTATTAATTAATTAAAGTGATTTTTAAGATTTATCAATCATTAAATTAATCAATAAATTAATCAACCAATCATCCAATCAATCAATCTATCAATCAATCAAACAATCAACCAATCAACCAACTAATCAACCACAGTCAGCCAATCAACTATTCAAACAGCCAACTAATCAACCAACCAATCAACCAACCAATCAATTAGCCATTCAACCAACCAACCAATCAACCAACTAACCAATCACTGATCAGTCCCGTCTGACAGCTCTACAATGCATTGATAAATTACTCGACAATATTGAGAAGATGGTCATTTTAGACGAAGTTCTGCCCTTCCTAATCGAAATCCAATGCTCCGATGTAGATATCGCAATGTCTATTGTAGGTTAGTATGTGTGTATGTATGTATGTATGTATGTTTGTATGTATGTTTGTATGTATGTATGTGTGTGTGTACGTATGTGTGTGTATGTATGTATGTTTGTTTTTTGTATTTATGCAAACATACATACATACATACAAACATACATACATACAGACATAAAAGCATACACACATGTTCACCTCTACACCGCGCCAGCTATCTACAAACACCTGTTAAGTGACCGGAAGTTTGGACTGACCCACAACCTCCTGGCCACAAAGGTCATGCCCTCTCTCGTCCCCCTCACCGTTTATCCAGGTCTCTCCATCTACCAAGTCGGTTATGATGATGATGGTGGTGACGTGCGTGATGATGATGATGGTGTTGATGGGCGTGATGTGGATGATGATGATGATGACGAAAACAAAAAACACAGATGCATAAAAAACAGCTAGTGTATAAAAACATTCCTACTAAAGTATAATAATCATACATACATACTAACGCTGGACAAACAAACAAACAAACAAACAAACAAACATACATACATACATACATACATACATACACACACACATACATACAAACATACATACAAACAAAAAACATACAAACAGTTCAACAGTTTAATGACCTTATTACACGACATGTTGGCACAAATTGAACAAGAACGCATCAACAAAATGATCAATGAGCTACCACCACCACAACAATACAACGATACGCAAAGGTTTGTTTGTTTTGCTTGTTTGTTTTGTTTGTTTTTATTTAGTATGTATGAATGTATGTTTGCTTAAGAATCAAATAAAAGTTTGTATGTTAATTTGTTTGTACGTTCGCTCGTTTGTCTGCTTGTTTGTATGTATGTTTACTTGTTTAGATTAATTATTAATGTATGTATGCATGTATGTTTGTTTGTCTATTTGTATCTATGTAGACGCGTATGTATGTGCGAATGTGTGTATTTGTATGCAAAGTTACAAATTGTTGTAATTAATTATTCTTATTGTTTGTGAATTCAGCCTGGCACAATGGCTCTCCGAATATATATTTCATTAATGCATCCATTCATTTGCTTTATTCATTCGTTCATCCATTCATTCGTTCGTTCATTCGTTCATCCATTCATCCATTCATTCATTCGTTCATCCATTCATTCATTCATTCGTTCGTTCGCTCGTTCGTTCGTTCATTCATTTATTCATTTATTCGTTCATTCGTTCACCCATTCATTCATTCATTCGTTCATTCATTCATTCGTTCGTTCACCCATTCATTCATTCGTTCATTCATTCGTTCGTTCGTTCGTTCATTCATTCATTTATTCATTTATTCGTTCATTCGTTCACCCATTCATTCATTCATTCATTCAATGTTAAAACAAAGATTATTCATTATGGTAATGTAGAAAAATCAAATGAACAAATTTTTGAGAGCAGTCAAACACATAATTTGGTTCATACATACGCATACAAACACATCGTACATACACATACAAACACACATAGAGAGGTACAAACAAACAAACATACAAACAAACAAACAACCAAACAAACAACTAAACAAACATACAAATGAATGTTGACGCGTGGTGAATGCGTGTCACGAACAGAATCTGATAAGAATTGGAACGCGAGTCAAATTTGCGTCAATTCTTCATCAAATTGCTTGTGTGTATGTTTGTTTGATTGTTTGTTTGTATTTATGTATGTATGTTTATGTATGTATGTGTGTGTATGTGCTTATGCCAGTTTGCATGTATAGGCATGCATGTACGTTTGTATATTAATTCATAAACCTATGTTTGTGTTGCTGAATTTAACAGAATATTTTATTGAATGAATGAAATTATCCATGTTTGTTTATGTGCTATGACGGCTGGATGCTTTGCGTATAGTGTACACACATCTTTGGTTTTTGTATGTATGTATGTATGTATGAATGTATGTATGTGTGTATGTATGTATGTATGTTTGTTTGTAAGTTTTTATGTATGTATGTGTGTATGTATGTTTGTTTGTTTGTTTTTATGAATGTATGTGCGTACGCACACACACACACACAAACATACACACGCTCACACACACACACACACACACACAAACATACACACACACAAACATACACTTTTAAAGGAGATTGTCCTCAGAGTTAAAGCCAATGAACAAATTTCTATTCGCCAAAAACAACAACAACAACATCAATCAGCCCGGTGCTAACATCAAAAACAACATCAACAACAACAACAACACAGCAACAACAAATCAAAATGCTTCTCTTCTCAATCAGTCATTTCTACACGTGGATTTTAACGCTTACAGGCGTTAGTATATATGTTTGTGTGTGTGTTTGTAGGTAAGTGTGTATGTTTGTTTGTTTGTTTGTATGTATGTTTGTTTGTTTGTTTGTTTGAGTTTTCATAATTTTAATCGGTTATCTTTTCATTCTACATCTCTTTCATTGGGGCAATTTATGTTCCAGTTGGTTGTGCTAGATGTAGTCTATTACGACCATATTGCTTTCTTATTATTATGTTGTATCATAGTGAGGAGAAAATAAAAATATTGTATTGTATTGCATTATATTGTATTGTTTTGTATTGTATTATATTGTATTGTATTGTATTGCATTGTATTGCATTGTATTGTTTTGTATTGTATTGTATAATTTCAATCGGTTATCTTTTTATTCTACAGCGCTTTCATTTCTTCATTACTTTAATCTTTCATTCCTTCATGTTTTCATCTTTTTCTTTTAGTTAATTAATTAATCAATCAATCAACCAACCAACCAACCAATCAAACAACCAACCGACCAACTAACCAACCAACCAATCAAACAAACAAACAACCAACCAACCAACCAATCAAACAAACAACCGACCAACCAACCAACCATTCAACCAACCAACCGACCAATAAATCCATCGATGACGAACAGCTCCTAGCACTCCGGAGTTTACAATCCAGAGCGCATCGGAGAGCAGGGACCACCTTGACAATCCGGGTTACAAGAGACACGCCAGCTTTCAGAGTCTCGGAGTTGTGAGTTATCATGATAATGATGGCGATGGCGTCATTGTGACGTCACTCAACCACACGCACACGCACACACACACGCATACACACGCACACATACACACACACCTAAACACACAGGCTGAACAAGCGGTATTCGAAATGGTTCGGCAGAGACGACTTAGTCAGATGAGTGGTCAGTCGGATATTCGAGCGAATGCTTTCTCCCAGCACAACCCTCACATTCACATCTCCCAGGCTTCTATGACGGCCAGCCTGAAGGATAACGTTGCCAGTTTGTTCTCATCATCCAAACATAGAGACAGCATTGTCAGTATCGGGCCTATCGTCTTTCCGGTCGAGTTTGGGTTTTTAGTTTAACTACATTTTTGTTCATTCGTTCGTTCGTTCGTTCCTTTGTTTGTTCGTTTGTTTATTTGTTTGTTCATTTAATTGTTCAATTAATTGTTCAATAATTTATTCGTTTGTTTGTTTGTTTAATCACTGATCATGATTGATTGATTGATTGATTGATTGATTGATTGATTGATTGATTGATTGATTGATTGATTGAGTGCTAGTTAATTCGTCCAATAGGATTTTAGCAGACGAGAGAGTTCCGGCAAACTGACCAATCACCCACCAATCAGGAGGTCAAGTTTTCAAGGCATCTGCGAATCAGCGGTCAGTATTCTATTCTATAGAAAATAAGTTATGAATAAATCAATATAAATAATATTCACATACGTAATGACACATAACATAAATGTACAACACTTACTTACATACGTGCACACATACATACACATATCCACATACACAAACACACACACACACACACATACATGCATTGACATTCACACAGATGCAATACTTCGGAGTAAAATAACTGATGATGACGATGAAGAAGAAGAAGATGACGAAGATGAAGATGGCGAAGAGATATTGAAAAATGGAAAATGACGTCACTTGAAAAATTCCATGAAAGACGTCATCAGCACTGGTGATAATAATGATCCTTGAAAAAGAAATCATGGTTGTGTGTGTGTGTGTGTGTGTGTCTGTTTATACATTTTTAAGTTTGCATGTAGATGTGTACGTGCGTGCATGTATGTTCGCAACGATCGATTTCGGTTAGCTTTTCGATGATTGTCATTCATTCATTCTTTTATTCCTTCATTCTTTTATTTATTAATTCATTTATTCGTTTATTCGTTCGTTCATTCACCAATTATCTGATACATTCCTTCATTCATTCATTCATCATTCATTCATCATTCCGACATTTTAAATATCGTTCCCCAATCGGCGATCACCTGATTAAACTTCAACAGACTTCATCGTTTTCAATAAAAGTTTTTTGTCTCATTTTTATGTTCAATTAATTGTTAGTTAAAAAGTTAAAAATACCAAAGATGATGCAAGTATAAATCTCTCTCTCTCTCTCTCTTTAACTCGTTTTTTCTCTTTCTTTCTTTCCTTCCTCTCTTTATACAGCTTCTCTCCAACTACGCTCCATCTGTTTTATTTTTTATCAGTTTTTCTCTTTCATACTCTTCCATTCAGTCACTCTATCCCTTTGTATCTGGCTTTCTCTTCTTCTTCTTCTCTCACTTTCTCTCTCCTTTTTTTCTTTTTCACACGTTTTTGTTGATTCTCTCTCTTTCTCGCTCTTTCTTTTGACACGTCTTCAAGTTCGTGTTTCCCATTTTAATCATTTTGTGTCTCATTCTTTCTTTCCTTCTCTGTCTGTCTGCTTGTCTGTCTCACTCTCTTTTCTCTCGCTCTCTTTCTATATATATATATATATATATATATATATATATATATATATATATATACGTGTGTGTGTTTGTGTGTGCAGTTATTTATAATTATTGAATAATTATGCAGAAGACAGTTTTATTTCTTTCTTCATTCTTTCAGCAATTTATGTTTTGCCATTTCTTCAATACTGGTAAATTGATTGATATCAATATGGACTCACATGCTCACACCCACGCACGCACACACACACAAACACACGCGCGCGCATACACAGACAAACACACACACACACACACATACATACATATAAATACACATACATTTATGTACGTATATTTTTATCTCTATTATATCATTTATAATGGTGAAATGTTTTTTTTTCATTAATGTTGTTATTGTTGATGTTGTTATTGTTGGTTGTACGTGCTATATATATATATATATATATATATGTATATGTATATATATATATATATATATATATATATATATACATTCATCTCTATATGCATAAAACCGTTTAATTTTCATTTAGTATATTTCAATTCGTGTCTATAATGATGATGCTGATATTGATGAAGGTGATAATGGTGGTGATAATGATGATGTTATTTAGAATGGTGGTGGTGATGATGATGTAGTAGGAGGCCGATGGTGAGATGATGATGTTGTTGATGATGACAATGATGACCGACCGTATTGATGATGATGACCAACCATATTGATGATGATGATCATCATCATATTGATGATGATGATGACAATGATGGTAGTTATAATGATGACGATGATTAAAAATTTTCGAAACATATCAACCGCGTGTATGTAAAACGAAAATCATATTTGTCCATATTTAAGAATAATAAAAGTATTTGGAAACTATCAATACTAATTTTGGCGTTATTATTATTTTTTACTTACCATTATTATTATTATTATTATTATTATTATTATTATTATTATTATTATTATTATTATTATTGGTCAGGCCAAACGAAGCGAGAACAGCTCTATTCGTCCGGTGTCGCGGTCGCAGGTCTCGAAGTAGCTGGCAACCGTTGCAGAGACCATCCGAAAAAACCAAGACACACGGACACAAACGATTCATCCAGATAGATCTGAATGCATGTGACCACGATAAACTGGGTGCAACTGATGGCCTAATCTGGAGACAAAAACTAACGACAAAAAATTGGAAGTGGATGATAAACGAAGATTGATTGGCTCATTGATTGTTTACCTGGTTGATTGATTGATTGGTCGATTGATTGATTGGTCAATTGATTGATTGATTGATTGGTCGATTGATTGATTGATTGATTGATTGATTGATTGATTGATTGATTAGTCGATTGATTGGTTGATATTATCACTACAATTAATTCAACAATTTATTAATCTTTATAACTTTAAATACATCTAGAAGAAACAAAACATACAGTGAAACAAATAAATTAAACATAAAAACATATGTATGAATAACAGCAATTATGCGATAAATAACAATAATAATAACTAACAGTAATAACAATAACAAATTCTTATTATTATCATTGTTATTATTATTATTATTATTGTTATTATTGAAAATAAAAACCTACTAGCTAGCCAAATAATAAAACACCAACAAACAAAACAAAACAAAGCTTATATATACATATATATATATATATATATATATATATATATATATATATATATATATAATGTGTGTGTGTGTGTGTGTGCGTGTGTATGCAAATCAAAAGTGAAGAAAACTATAATGATAACAGCAATAACGTTAATAAAACATTAACATTTATAATGATGAAAATGATGATAATGATGACTGACGGTGATGATGATGATGGTTATGATGATTTTGTTTTTATTATTATTACTGTTTTTATCATTATTATTAATATTATCAACAAAACCAACAGAAAAGAAATAATCACATTATAATATAGTAATTCAACTCATTCATGACGATGACGATGATGATGGCGATTATGATGATGATGATGATATTTAATTGTTAGCAGTCACTTTAGTGTACAATGATATATCAAAATTTTCATCATTATTATCATTATTATAATTATTATCATTATTAGTAGTGATAGTATTAGTATCAGTATCATCATCATCATCATCATCATTGTTATCAGTTTGATCAGGATGACAAAGATGCGTAGGCGATGATGATGATGAAGATGACGGTTTCAGTGGCGGTGATGATGATGATGATGATGGTTTTTGCGGTGACGATAAGGGCGATTTTGATGATGGTGGTGGGGGTGATGGTGGTGGGGGTGATGGTGGTGATGTCGGTGGCCCGATAGTGATTCCACTTAGCATCTGGAGAATACAAAAAAATTTTTTTTCAATATAATATCAATATTATTACTAATATTATAATATTTCTAATCATCATAATAATAATCATCATCATCATCACCATCATCATCGTTATAACTATCATCAATACCATCCTTATCATCACCATCATCATCATCACCATTACCATCATCATAACTTGCCATTTTTTCTTCTTTATCTTCGTCATCATCGTCATCAATATTACTCATGCTGCTATTATTGTTTGAGCATTTATTATTATTACTCTTATTGTTATTGTTATTATTATTATTGTTGTTATTATTATTGTTGTTATTATTATTGTTGTTTCTATTGTTGTTCAAATGGGGTTCCAAATTTTGGGCTTCGTTGATTTTATTTTGTACAATTTTAACTGGTTTAACGTTATTATTATTATTATTATTATTATTGTTATTATTGTTGTTGTTGTTGTTGTTCACGTGGTTGACATGATTACTATTTTTATTATTAACCTCTATATTACTATTATTATTATTATTATTATTATTATTATTATTGACGTTGTTGTCGCCGATGTTATAGACATGGTTGTTGTTGCTGCTGTTGTTGATGTTGTTGTTGTCGTTTGGATGTTTTTGGTCCAACAAGGTAGCTAACTCTTGGCCGGTTTCGTAAATGTATGGCCCACCCTTAAAAATATATTTCAAAACGTCATCGTCGTTCGTTACCACCATTACTGCAACTACTGACAGCTTCAACATCATCGCCACCACCACCACCACCACCATCATCATCACCACCATCATCATCATCATCACCATCATCATCATCAGTACCTGATAGGTATCATTCTTAAAGGTGTCTGGCAGTGTTATGCTGATCTGCCGCTTGTATCTCTTATAAGACTTCAAGCACTTTCTAAATAATAATAATAATAATAATAATAATAATAATAATAATAATAATAATAATCCGGGACGCTGTGGCTACACTTCAAGCTGTGGTTACATTTCAAGCTATGGCTACATTTCAAACTGCGGATAAATTTCAAGCTGTGGCAACATTTGAAGCTGTGGTAACATTTCAAGCCGTGGCTACATTTGAAAATGTGACTACATTTGAAGCTGTGGCTACATTTGAAGCTGCGGCTACATTTTAAGATAATAGAACGATTAAAATGGCAGACGTTGTTGTAATTGAAAAAAATGTAAAACCAAAGAGAGCGACAACAACCTCATCATCATCATCATCGCCATGAAACGAACCTTATGACAAAAGTGCCGATGACGACGACGAAGATGATGAAGAGGACGACGATGATGATGATGATCGCCGTGACGGCGTTCGAAAGTTCTTGAAATATTTGAAAGAAGATTTACCAGATCGTCATCATCATTTTCATCACAATCACCACCACCTCCACCACAAACAACATCATCATCGTCACCACCACCATCATCGTCATCACCATCATCATCGTCTTCGTCATCTTCATCATCATCATGACTCACTCGTTGACCCGGATTTGTATATAACTGTCTTCGAGAATGTGGACTCTCCGCTAAAGGTCAAACTCCTGACCTTGAACTCAAACTGACTTTCGGGGTGAAGGCCTTTGATGAATAGGTCTCTTGAGTGCCTGTCGACCAGACGGCTGTTCACGTCTAGACAGCAGCCAGTTTGATCGTCTGGAGTTCGCAATGATGGTTTCATAAAAATTAGCCTATGTAATGGCATGACCGAATTAAAAAACCAGTCATAAACACACACATACACTAACACAACAAACATACATTAAAACATACCTACACACATGCAGTACAACATACACGTGCAAAAAACATACACACGTACACACAAACAATACGACACACACACACTCAACTACCATTTCACACACATACACATGTTATGATAAATTAGAGAAGACAAGTTTTGCATTTGGAAATAAAGTCCGGTAGTTAAGAAAGCAATTAAGGTACATAATGGGATACAATCGAGGTGTTGTTAGAATACAAACGAAAGCCACATATTAAAAATGGTTCCCAGGGTTATTGGGTTTCTACTTCTTTCAAAGAAGAAATGTGATAAAGATGATGAAGATGATGATGAAGATGATGATAACGTGATGGCGACGATGATAATTATATCATGAAAACAAAGATGAAACATATTAATCAAAAAATAACTTCACCATTGTTAGCTCCATCAACATCTGCACCAGTATTAGCATTACTATCATCACTGCGGACATCATCATCACCACCACCATCATCAGCATCATGTTGGCATGGTGAACTCCGCTTTCTGCACCACACAATTTCGTAGTTAGTGATGTGCGCGGATTTTAGGCAAGATGGTGCCGCCCACGTGACCAGGGCCCCATCACGTGATTGGCTCAACGAAACGTGAACGTTCATTGGTGGGAGTACGTCTGATTGGACGAGTGAAGAATTAAGTGGATGAATGAAGAATGAGTGAATGAGCGTGCCTATGACTGGATGATTGACCGACCAAACGATCACCCACCCCTCACGAACTTACCCTTTCCGGGTTCATGCAGACACTCGGCCCAAACTACCCCACTACTGGTGATGGCCTTCAAAGTCGGGTCGTACTTCTCTACGGAGACGCCGACCTTCAAATCTACGTCATGTTCGGTCGCCATGACAACCGTCGCGTTGACGTCATTCCGAATGGGTTCCGTCCAGTTTAGTGGTGTGCTGAGCTGTGTGCGTGCGTGTGTGTGTTTTGTGCGTGTGTGAGTGCGTGTTTTGTGTGTGTATGTTTTGTGTGTGTGTATGTTTTGTGTATGTTTTGTGTATGTGTAAATGAGTTTGTTGAGAAATTAAATAGTTTATTCAAATCAATTTATTCAACCATCCCAATATTAACTTATTCACTCACTCACCACCCACTCATTCATCCATCCACCCAACCCGCACACTCACATTCAGTCAATCATTCCTCCAACCATCTATCAATCCACTAATCAACAACCAACTCAACGGACCATACAATCGTGGGTAGACAGATCATTGAGACACCAGAAGACTGTATAGTTGTCTGCTTCACTGACGTGTGACCAGTGGAGCGTTATCTTGCGATTGTCCACCATGGCATAAACCTGCTCTGGCGGTTTGGGGGCTGGACACCATTGGAGATGATTAGAAGTTTAGAGATTAGAAAGTTAGGGATTTAGAGGATTAGGGATTAGATTATGGATTAGGGAGTGAGATTGCGCGCTGTTTTGCATTACCTGTGACTAATATGAAGTCTCTGTCGCATAGCTAGATTGCATGTTTGTGTTTGTTTGTTTGTTTGTTCGTTTGTTTGTTCGTTTGTTTTTTACAGTATAACCATCATCAACATCTTAATGACAATTATCATCATCAACAACACATTCATCATCACGATCAACATCACCACCCTCATCACAATCATCATCACGATCATCACCATCATCATCATCACCACCACCTTCATCACAATCATCATCACCATCATCATCACAATCATCATCATCACCATCATCATCATCATCACCACCACCCTCATCACAATCATCATCACCATCATCATCACCATCATCATCACAATCATCATCATCACCACTATCATCATCACGATCCTCATCATCACCTCTCGCAAGGCTAGGAATGATGAATGATGATGAAGGCAATGTGAGACTGAGACCTTTCTCATTGCATGACTGCAAGCCAACCACGTAACTGACACCATTTGCCAATGATGAACTGAGTAAGCCTTGTTATTATTATTATTATTACTGTTATTATTGTTGTTGTTATTATTATTATTGTTGTTGTTTTGATCATGATGATGATAATGACGACGACTAATGATGACGATAATGACTATGGTATTGATTGCAATGAAAATTATGATGATAGTAGCGATACCTCCGTTAAGCAGCCAATCAAATTTGTCGACGAAAATGACGTCACCGTCGTCAGTTTTAGCTAGAGATCTCACTGTGACCAGAGTCTTGTTCATCATTCCGTGCTGCTTCAGCTCTGGGATAGGCTTCCAGAAGACGTTCACAAACCTCGATGACGTCACTGATGATGACGTCATCGAGGTTGACGATGACGAGGTTGTTGTCGTTGCTGGGTTGCTTGGCTGCTGAGAGGATGCTGCCTGATGGTTGCTGACGTAGTAACTGCCAGGATGCACTGCTGGATTGGCCCCAGGCTCTGCAAATGAACGGCAACACTAGCCTTTGTATATTTTTTTGTTGTTGCAATATTTTAGAGAAGTTTATTTACAGTTTTTATATACAAAACCGCCAACCAACCAACCAATCAAACCAGCCATCCAGCCAATCAAACCAGCCATCCAACCAATCAAAGACAATATTTACTCCTCAACCACCAGCCAATCAGAATAACTCCTCAACTGTGAAGAAATGCCCCGACCAACCAGCACTTAGAGTCTTGAAAGTAATAATCGATTGGTTTTCAATGAAACTCGTGTAGCCCATCTCGACCTCGGAGTAGCTCGTATTATACTTCTGGACGTACGGTATGCAATGGACCTGTGCTGTGTAGTGCCGAAATGGAGTTAAATCCGTCAGCGTTATCTTCATATCTTTGGTTCTCTTTCTCAGTACCTGATTGGTTGGTTGGTTTGATGTGATCGGCCGGTTGTTTCGCCATAAATGATATGATTGGTTGGTTGGTTGTTTTGTAATATTTGATCTGATTGGTTGGCTGTTTTGTAATATATTATTTGATCGGTTGGTTGTTTCAATTAGTTTGATAAGGCCAATTGATTGCTTTGCCATATTTTATTGATTAGTCAAATGATTTGGTTGCTTGGCTGTTCTGATGGTTTGAACAATCATTCAACTATTAAACCCATCATAAGATGACTGCATTAATATTCATAAAAAGTAACCTCATCAATATTCATAAAAAGTAATCTCATTAATATTCGTAAAAAGTGACCTCATTAATATTCGTAAAAGGTGACCTCATTAATATTCGTAAGAGGTGACCTCATCATTCATATTCGTAAGAGGTGACCTCATTAATATTCGTAAGAGGTGACATCATTAATATTCGTAAGAGGCGACCTTATTAATATTCACAAGATGACCTACTTCTGTACTACCATCCATTCGGTACTCGATGGTATAAATGATGCGTCGATTGGCAAAGTCAGAATTGTACCAATTTAGCTCCACCCACGTACTGTTGATCGTGGCCGGGGTATGGAAAGCTACAGCTGCAGGCCGAACTGGAATAATAATAATGATTATTATTGATAATAATAATTATGACAACACTCCAAATAATTATTTTGAAACAACTTAATGGCTCTGATAAGATAAATTGAATTAAATGATTGTGATAAGATAAACTGAAAAAATTTGATGGATTTTGTAAAAAATGGATTTAACTGGAAAGTATTATTAAAATGACTGCAACACAACAAAAACAACATCAACATCAACAACATCAACAACAAAAACATCAACAGCGTCAACAAAAACATTAACGACAACTAACCATAGTGGTCCATATTGAAGACATTTTCAACTTTGATCGTTTGGAACATATTCTTCACAATGAGATTCACACAATATATCCCGAGAAAAAAGATATGAGAGCCTTTCTCAGGATCCATAAAACAATACCCTGTAAAATAATAACAACAAAACAACAACAACAATAATAATAATAATAATAACAATAATAATAATGATAATGACCAAAAAAAAATATCAATAGTAAACTACAATAATACCTTCTTTGTGCTGGCAGGCATGCCTGTACTTGCAACTGGAAATTAGAAAAAAAAGAAGTCATGAATATACTCTCTTTCTCTCTCTCTCTCTCTTTCTCTCTCTCTCTCTCTTTCTCTCTCTCTCTCTCTTTCTCTCTCTCTCTCTCTCTCTCTCTTTCTCTCTCTCTCACACACACACAACAGTATGATACACCACAATACAATACAATACATTATGATACAATTCAATACAATATAATGCACTACACTACAATACAATACAACACAACATAATATAATACACAACACAATGCAAAACCATATAATATGATGGTGAAGTAAAATACACTAACAGATAAAGATAAGTCAGTTCATAAGTTGTTGTTACCCCAACATTCTGAACAGCTGGCACCCAAGAACAATTTAATGAAACTTTGAAGTTGTAGACCACGCAGGTAACGTTGGGCCTAACTAAGGGCTCAGCCACAAAAATTTGTGTCTGGCCGATTTTGTAACTTTCGTTGAAATCCCGAACAATGCAATGAACTGAGTTGTAGTTGTCTTCCCTGGTTAACCTCAAAGTGGCCGAGATAGTTTGGTTGTTAATGATTTGATATTTTATATCTTTGGCTGCTTCCAGGTACATGTTTGAAGAGTTGACATACGACCTCAACTGGGGTATGTAATTAGTGAAGAGGGTGCAGTTCAGAGTCCGGTTTGCTGGGGCCAGTGCTTTTATTTCTTTAGGGGTTATTTCTGATTTTTGGGAAAATTTACATTTAGACAGTATTTATTTTAGTAGCTAGCTTATTACATAAATTAATTAATTAAAAAAAATTTAAATTGATTTTGCAAAAATAAATAATGGTGGAGAAACGATTGATTGATTGATTTAGTTGAACTATTTAAATAATTTAAAAAAGGTAATTGCATCATTCATTATTATTTCATTTCCTAACTTAACTTACCTCCATAAACTTGAACTTCGGTTCTACTTTTGTTGCTGTTGGCTTGTTGGTTTAATTGGCCCATAGCAGCCAAAAAAACGTTTAACAACAAAAAAATGGCGAAGTTTTGTGAGATGATCATGATGAAATTTGAATTAGTGAAATTAGTAAAATTGAATTATTTAGTGGAAGAACATAATTTGAATCAAAGAATTATTTTTTTTTATATGTACCATCTCCACTACCAAGAAATAAATGAAAAGTGAATTTAGTTATTAAAAAATTGTAGGGCACGTTTTGATTTTTAACTGTGAATTAAAATCGGAGAACGGCCTAAGAGGCTTACTGGACATTTTAGATTGTGGGTATAATAAAATTCGAAAATCTCGAAAACTGCAAAAATGTTTTAAGGTTTACAGTTTTTATTATACTTCTTTAACAAGCACACTCAACTGCCATACATAGTATGTACTACATACATACATACATACATACAGTCACACATACATACCTACATACTAACATACATACATACAAACATTCATACATACATTCATACATACAAACATACATACATCCATATGTACATACATACAGTAAGTGTAATAATATTAATATAAGAGATCTAATATTAAATAGTTTTGCTGTTGTTTGTGTTGATATATTCTTAAAAAGTTAAAATGTAGCCACTTTTTAGGGTGCTATAGAT